GCAATTTACACTTGGTGTTCTATTTCAACAGCACAGCAAAGTTTGTACATTTTTAACAACTGTACGTTTCACACAATCGTACAGTCATTTACCAAAGTTAAGACCACCTGGAATTTTGTTGGTATATCTGTCACTGGGCCTGCACTACACTGTCCTATTGAATGATTACATAACATGTTTTTTACATCATCAGAGTAGTGCTATAAGCCCATTTGATTGAAATGTTTTGGAAAGGAAAGTCTTGCATGACTTTGTCTCAATGCATCATGGGTGAAAAAGCCAGTGTAAGTCGGGTTTGAAGGGCCCAAATAGTGACCCTCTACCAAGAGGGCTACTCTGAACATCAACTGATCGAGAGGATTGGCGGCAGCAAGACTGCTGTGCACAATGCCAATTCTAAGTTCAAGAAGATAGTTCACTCTCTGACCAGAAAAGGAGTGGTCATCCAAGAAGATGATGACCATGTAACGCAGAGAACTGAAGGATCCCTCAAATTCTTGTCGGATTATCAAGACAGTTCTGCATTCCACAGGAACAAATGTCTGTGTAGACACCATCTCTTACCATTTGAGCAATGACTTTGGGGGCCAGTTTAGGCTCAAGTTACACAAATCTGCCCGTAAACCTTAACCCTTTGACCATGGCAATGAAGGTAAAGAAACTAAGCTTTGCCAGGAACGAGTCCTGAACTGTAAAATACTAGGAAGTTTTCAGATGAATCAATGTTACAACAGTTTGTATCATGCAAATTGCACGTCCAAAGATCAAGCTGAAAAAGATTTGATACATTATACACAGTTGCAACCATGAAATATCCCCTAAGACAGATGATATGGGGAGCATAATGTCCCAGTCTGGAACATCTTGCAGGATCAGCTGAAAACCTGGCCTATGGATGCACACAAATGTAAAATAGTCATGCAAAATGGTGCTCCATGTCACAGATCCAAGGTGTTGAAGGACTTCTTGACCAAGAACAAAGTCAAGGTTCTTAATTGGCCTGGTAACAATCCATATCTCAATCCCATCGAAAAATTGTGGGAGGTTGTGAAAGATGAGGCTAAGGCACTATTTTAAGCTGCCTTGCAGTAAAGGAAAGCCAAGTCGCATTCAGGAAGTCAGAGACAGTGTAGGACATACTAAATATTTAACTAACATTTTAAATCGTGGAAATGTAGTCAAAAAGCTGTTCAACCAAGATACTAAGGCTACACACTGAAAATAAATCAGAGTTCTTATGATTAATAATTGGTTTAAGTTTGGTTTTTCTTCAGGTTAATGCACTTTGTACGGGTGGCCGTAAACCTTTTGAAATGACTGTAGTTGCCTTCAAACAGGAATTAAAATATCCCATTTTGTTCAACTTCTGCCAAGGCTAGCTGTCTAAGATTTGGCAAGCTGAATAAAATTAGCTCCTAATCAAGCTGCTATCATAGCCTACAGATAATTTTCAATTTTGACACTGCATAACGATAAGCCAGTCCTCATAAACTGATTAAACTTACATTCCGAAACATTAATACTCCTGACCTAAGCATGGCTGTAATAACTTTGTAAAAAAGAAAAGAAGATACAGTTTACAGCACATTTGCAGTGTTTGCTCCCTAACTTGCTGACAAGTCCTCAATTAATGAAAAAGGTGCAGAGTACATTAAAGATATCCAAAATCCCCAGCTGTATTCAATGCCTAATCAACCATACATGTGACCTGCCTACTGCTCACGTTCGGAGGCAATAAAGTTAAAGATCACTACAAGATCAATCCACCGTAATGACGTGTATTATAAAACGTAATTACATGGCTTAAGTCACGACACACATGCGAAAGTTACGTTACGAGAACAGAACAGATGGAAACAGTGGACAAAGGAAAATATGAAGTTTTCAGCTCCCTGATGGCTGACAAATATAAAACAGGGTCTGCATAGGCCTACAAGTCTAAATTTTAAGATACCCATATTTATAGACCATATTTTCTTTTAATAAATCGTCACGTTGAATGACAATTGTGTGCATGTCATCATTATTGTAGATACTTTAAGTTAAGTGACTATAATACAATATTGGTAGCCCATACACGCCTTTTTGAACGGCCAATATACAGCCTTCACCAGTTCTAACATCAGATTAAAGTTAATTTTGTTACGTTTTCATTTATACTCTACTTATCCCGAATCTCAGGGCAAGGGTATCTTCAATTTAAACGCGGAAAAGCCTATTTGGTCTCGTGTACAGATCCTCCCCTACTTGATAACGCACAAGACTAACATCCGACTGACTGTTGTCACTGCCATTTGTGTCATGCGCCACTTTGTTCGGCACGGTGTACAGATCTTCTCCGACTTGGACTCGGGTAAGCCTTCCTCTTGGTCTGCCCTGCTGCCTGTCATTACCTCCATCACTTCTAGCAAAGTGTGCAGACGAAGACCCAGATAGTGGGGTGGTCTCGCGCCGAAGATGCTGGGCATGTGGCACTGCACGTACTGACTCTTCCGCTCTCGTGCGTGCGGGTCGCTGGCCAGACGAATCACCAATTCGTGTGATGTGAAATGTGTGGCTGCTGTATACGTGTGAGTCCCTCTCTGGGAAGGAATCAAGGCGTCTTAGAGTGGGGACCGATTGGTCGACTTGATGACGTCTCTTTGGAGAATTTCGATATTTGCAACACCAGCTTGCGACGCCAAGGATTATAACAAGGCTTATCATGGCGAGGATAGAGCCAATTATCAGCCATAGCACCACAGGTCGGTGCGTGTCGGTATCGGTATTGATGATCCGTGTTGGGCTTTGGGACGGAGGAATAGGAGGTTGTGTTAGATTGTGTTTTATCGTCGATACCGTATGAACCAGCAATATCTGGTACCAAGGGCTCAACTCCTCACAGTTTGTGGCATGTATGACCTTACATCTTATATGACTTCCATTGTCTGAGGATACGATCGGAGAGATGACCAGTCGATTTCCTGAAGTTTCGAATCTGTCCGTGGTGTTAAATGAAATTGTTTTGTTGTCTGCTTCCTTAGTTAGCCATACAAAGATTGTTGAGTACGGACGAGGATCGGTATTACAGCCGAATTCCCCTTCCCCGCCCAGGAGTAAATGTTTGTTTTGGGAAACACTGATGGATAAATTTAGGGGTGTTTCACACACAGTTTCATCAGCAAGAGTTTCATCAGCTACGGTGAGTAATGCGTTACTAGAGATCTCAAAATCTGCTAGAGTTGTTGAATCAGGTGTCTTTGGAGTGACTAACAGCTGGTACCAAGGACTCGCCTCCTCACACTTTGTGTTATATGTCACCTTACATCTCACCTGACTTCCGTTGTCTGAGGCCTCAAGCCGAGAGATTGTAAGTCTATTCGCTGGTGTTGCGAATCTACCAGCGGGGAGAATGGGAACAGTTCGGTTGTCTGCTCCCTTCATGAGCCAGTCAAACGTAGGTGAGTTTTGAAGAGGGTCAATGATACAGCCAAATTCCCCTTCACTGCCTGAAATTAGGTCCTTGCTTTGCCTAACTGTGGCAATAACTGTTTCACACACAATGACGGTGAGAAAGGCGTACCTTGAAGCTAACATATCATCGAGAGTTATCACACTGAAGAAATACTCCCCCCTGTCTGCCAGAGTGACGTTTTTAATTACCAGTGTAGAGATCGATGTTCCTTGAGGTTCGGTGCTATTTAGATACACGGAGTATTTCCCAATCTCAGAANGGGTAAGAAGCAAAGGTGCACAAATTTAATTTATCTTTATGTCCATATCTCGCCCAATAGATTTGAACATCTGTACAATCAACCGAGAACTTGGTTTGACAAGTGAAAGTTGCTGTTCCACCCTCAGCTACCGTCTGATTCAGCGGATGTCGCACAAAACCCACAGATTCTGATGACGATGTGACCCGGAGTAAAAGGCACACAAAGAATGCAAAAGCTGGAGCCATTGTCTCGCTGATCACATCAGAAATGAGAACTGAGACTCATCACACTTAAGTTTATAATAATCGGAGCTGCTGAATGTATCAATCACGTGGGCGATTTTATTACGCCACCAACCATGATTTCTCAAGTACTTTCAAGTTTGTTCATGGGGGGATCGCAAAGTGAAAGCCTCTCTTGTAACAAAGTAAGGTTATATGCGTTTAGTCAAACAACTGAAAGTTAGGCCTATTTCTGGGAAAGGCCTTTCGATTACAATCGTGTAGTGATGTTGCAGCAAATTGTCATAATACAATGACAATGTCAAAACTGAAGAATAACGGGGCAAGAGCTTTAATTTTTCACTCTGAGTTTGCCAATTAATTAAAGAACGCCATTTTATATACTCTGTGGTAACTGCGTGGCAGGTTGTCTGCTCCCTTCATGAGCCATGTAAAGGTCGACGACTGTCTTGTTGATGGTCAGCATTACAGGTGACCTCGCGGTCACAGCCCACAAGCAGGTTTATATGTGCTTTGCGTGACAATGATGGTCCGTGTTTCGCAGAAAATCTGACCATAACGACGGTGAGAAACGCGTGACAGGGATAAAATGGAGCGTAGCATCCATCTCTCAGGTTACCGGCGATTCACGGCGCCTCTAAGAATTTGCAACGCATTGGCCAATCGGAACGCGCGAAATTTGTCGACCCTGTAAAAGCGCATTGGGTCGACAAATTTCTCGCATTGTTATTGTCCGCTCTGGGTAGTCGTGGGCCGTTTTCCAATACTCAACTTCGTCCTCGTCTCAGGCTTCGTGTGGGAAACCAAACCTCGATTGTGGGCCTGTAGCGTTTAACTTAAATTGAAATACTGTAATGTTTAGCTCTTTTGCATCTTACTTGATGTTTTGTGGCACAATCAGACAATTTCGCTTGTAACCTCGAAGTCAGGAAGTAAAAAAACAGTTGAAGCCTCCGACGGAGCTAAAGTCGATTATTGGAAAACGGCCCAAGTCAAGGCCTTTGTGCGTTAATCGTTGTACTGAATGATAGAGGGCGTACCTCCCAGCATAAAGAAATCTGTGTATGTACTGATGTAACACTGCAAACAACGCGTAGGTAGGTGCGGTCGCACCGCACGCGCACGTGTGTTGTATACTGAGCGCTTGGTGGTCGCTTGTAAACCGTTTATTTTCGCGACTTTGTGTATCATCTAGACAACACGAAATAAGTCTTTGGGGAATCGCTGGCACACCTACGTGATATGGAGTAAGTGCAAGGTATTTTGCTTTTACAGGAATAAAATTCATAAATTTTGTTTTTAAATGTCTAAACAAATTAACTCTAGATCCTATCATGTACACGTATATGACAAATCTGTTCATGTCATTCACATAGATTCTTGAAACAAGGTACTCACAAGGCACTTATTAGCAAAGATCGTATAGCACCGCGTAGTGGCACAAGATGGAGAAGTTCACTGCGAATACATGTAAAACTTTGTAATTGCATAGGCGCCATTTGAGCAAACGATATGCCTGTGCAATGCACATGATGCGCAGGCGCCGCAGCAGACACCTGCATCTGGTGAGCCTGCGCCGAAGCATTACCATAAACTGCGCAGGCGTATCGCTTGCTCAAATGGCGCCTAGGGTAATTACACCTTTTGGACAGAGTTATCCATCTTCCGCCTTTGGCGCTATGCGATCTTTGCTTATTGGGGAATTTAAACGTCCCTTCAGCCAAAAAAGAATGCTACGTCCAAAGTTTGGCGGTGAAAGTTGCAAAACATGGAACAATTTGCCAGAGCAACTCAGAAGTATACACGCAGGTTCCTTATACTGTAGCTTAGGGAGATTCAAATCAGATATACGGGAAGCCATGACCAGTGCCATGTAGTCCAAAATGCTGATCTGTGGAGTTGTTAACTTGGTTGCCAATGATCAGTGGAGTCGGATCGGGAATTTCCCTGTGTTCTTTTTTCCCATAGGGTTTTTTTGCAGGGTTCTGCCCATCCATGATCAGTATTTAAGTAGTGCCTTGATTATTTAAATGTTCACACGTGTATGCTATTTTAGTGGTCTGTATTTGTATATATTAATGTTCATCGTATTTGTCAATTTTACTTTTCGGTGTGAGTTTCTATTTTATTAATATGTAATGATTGCAGGGCCCCAATGGAAACCAGTTTGTAATTATTTGGGCATACCCTGGGTAAAGAAATGGAATAAATAAATTCATACGCCTAGTTCTTCAGACCATGGAGAAAGAAAAAGACCATGTTGAGAGTCCTAGGAGTAGGACTAGGATCAACACCAGGCATGTCACTACCCCCAGAACTGTGGCGTCCGACGTCCGCTTTGCTTTCATTGGAGCGGTGCGGACGTCAGACCCCACAGTCCTAGAGGTAGCATGCCACAGTACATGTACGTGGCCCATTTCTGTGAAAATGACATTCATGAGTAACTTTAGTAAGCCTATGCCCACTTAGATTTTGCTCACATCTTGCAAATTGTATCCCTCCCAAGCAAGTCGTTGGGTGCGATGATGTGCTCACGTGCAGCTGTAATACAAGGCCATCCCATGATATTATGAGCCCGATAAGCCCAACTTCACTTTGGCATGCTGTGCATATTTGAATTTTTGAAATGATGTTTGACACGACTGTATCAGAAATAGTCTGAGCAACTTAGACTCTATGAATTGCCTTTTTTAAAGAATCGGATATGGTCCGGCGAAATATGGCAATGTACACACTGTATACTCATCTGTGTGAAGTCACCAACTTCACACTGATGGCATGGAACGCTCCTTGGTGTATTTGTAAAGGTACATGTAGGCTAAGGCAAAACAAAAGTTTAAGTGTGTTTCCTATTACACTGAAAATAAGTTAGGGTGCTTGGTTGGATCAATTTTTTTTACTATAATTTTTTGTTGTCCAAAAATTAGGGTCAGATGATGGTCTGTATTTTTTTGGGGGGGCATATACATGTATTTGTAACAGGTAATAAGTCAGTGTCAGACTAACAGTGTACATGTGAATGTCGTTATTACATACATGTACATGTGTATCAGCAGTGTAATTGAACAGTACAGCTGCTGTTTGTTGAAATATAAACACACAAGAGCCGTCCATCTCATGCCAAAAAAAAATTAATACAATACAACGTACAGGACAATGAACATGTATGTACACAGAATTAGGCTCTGGGCAAGGCATCATAAGTTTTTGTATTTTATTGATTTGTCAAATAAAAGGATATAGGTTCCATTTGATTTAACCAGAAATGCAGCTATTTTTTTGTTTGGCCTAATTGTCCAAATACAAAAGGATTTGCATGGAATCATGCAAATACGTTCTGTTCATGGAATTTTGGAAGGTTCCATGATCGACTTGGTAGTTTACAGTTGAAGTTTGTACTGTAGTATGTCATGTTACTCAAAGGGGTGAGATTATTCAGCTTTTTAGCTGATTTCAGCTTTTTTGTTTTGCATTTCAGCTTTTTTCCTCACTGGCTGTGTACAAAAGCGTAGGAGATTTTCACAGTTCAGTTTCTTCATGCCTTGTTTCAGGTGTTTTCAGCTTTTTTTTATCATTGGTCAATCTCACCCCTGTACTCACAGCAGACTGCCAGAAGTCGTTAAGTCTGTCATGTGTTTGTGCTGGGTGTGATGTCCATGAGTGGGGTAGACGGCAGAATCTTCAATTCTGGGGTAACAGTGTGGATACATGTAAGTGACAAAAATTCCACTTTTTTCAATCAAATTTTCCCTTGAGAATGAGAGCAACCATTAATTAAGCCTGATGTACCCAGTCTAAAGGAGGTTTTTACACCAAAATCACCGAGGGGTTCCTCATCATTCTTCCGTTTTATTCCCAACGATCGCAGTCGCACTGTACCGTACATTTTGTGTGCATCACACAGTGCACATGCAGCGACAGCCAGGGCCAGTATAGCCGAGCTACATATAGTAGTTCTGCATGTCATGTCGAATATTTTGGAGGTGGCAGTGTTTAACCTGTCACAGCTTGTACAGTGCTTGGCCTGATATGGTATCACTCCAGTCACACAGCTAAGAGGCCACTCATGCGATAATAACAAGATTCCACCCCCTCCTGGTATCAGTATATGGACAGAAATGACTTTGCTAAGATGGCCGTTCACCCGCGCATGTGCACTGAGCATGTGATGCACACAGATTGTTCAGTACAATGTGATTGTTGGGAAGAAAACAGGAAATACGTGAGTGAACCCTCCAATTTTTTCAAAATAAGATAGGTCTTATTGGTCTAAAAATCGGCATTAGTTACTCAGTTTTCAAGAGCTATACATGTAGGTACCTTAAGGTTGCTCTCACGTAAAAATTTGATTGAAAAAGTTGAATTTGCGTCACCAGTGCTGGTACCTCAAAGGCTGGATAAAACAGATAGCATTGCAGCCCTGTATAAACAAACATGGCCTCAACTTGCCCACAAGTCACACAGTTCTTGGGGTAAACCTCCTAAACATGGTGAATATCTTTTTTCCATCAATCATGTTCTTATTTTCAGCCTTGGTCTGTTACCTAGCCCAGATTGGACAGCACTTAGGGTTATGTACGTATATGAGACTTGGGTGGGACCTTGAGAGGGCACAATTTTCCAATCAATGGAGGCTCCTTTGGTGGGAACTGCTCCACAGGAGACTATGAAGTACATGCACCACGGTTGCATCAACCAATGAGGGGGTTCTACTCAAGGCGGGTAGACCAACATACATTTTAGAAAGAATTCCATGATGTATGATGATGTACACTTATCCGGGCTTTTCTTCTCACCTGTCAAACTGAACATCTCTTCATTGTCTTCGTCACTCATTATCATCCTGTAATTGGTACTAAATGCACCGTTGGATGATCAGATAAATAAGTAACATTAATGTAGATGTAAAATGGATGCCGCTTGACATCCTTTGCACAAATGGACCATGGAGAAAGAAACCTTCTGACACTGGTCTGAAATGTTCAAGCGTTTGCTTAGTGAATGCCAGCAACATTTTCACTGCTAAATTTTGACATTTGAGGACACTATTTTATTGCTTTGAGATGGCTGGTAGTGCCTGTACTAGTCATGCTAGGTCACTGAAGGGAAATGTTAGTGGTATCAGTAACGGATTTTTTTCTGTACATGTAGGCCTACATCTCGACTAGCATCAAGCATATCAAGTAATTGTGCCATTGCATCTTGACTGTTAGTGCTCCCTCATGTGGCGCACTTGAAAAAATTGCCAAAACCCCCACATTTGAGAAGTTCTGTGAACATAATTTTTATTATTACCTCAATTTACATACACTTAAACAAAAGTTTGTTAGAAAACTGTTTTTAATTTTTGGGCAGGTTAAAAGTGTCCATTTTGCACAGAAGGGAAAAAAATTGAAAAATTGAGCCAAAATAAAAATTTCATTGGAAAGTTGTAGTGGGTGAGTAAAATCGGGAGTTTTGAATTAGAGTAGTGGGAGTTTGATGAAACTTCACTTACTTTGCAATTTGAGGTGAAAATGTTGCTTCGGCATGGCACTGGAGGCAAAAAATCAAACTGTGCCAAAGTTAGGGGTGCGCAGTTAGGGGGCTTCAACAATAAATGAAGGATGTTGCTGTGACAACAGTAAAACCAGAAGGGATGCATTGTTTTTGTATTTATTGTAGTCATTAAGAGAAGTTAACGCCCAGAACCAGTGATGACATCTGTATTTTATCTCCTTTTTGTTCTTCTGAAGAAGCGGGCTCAAGAGAGACTCAAGTTCCAGTGAGGACCCAAGTGACAGCCACTCTGAGAGTGACGAGGAGCAAGAACAGTGGATTGAGAGGTAGACAAGCTGTCACTTGTCAGTTATATTTGCCATCTGTGAAGAAAATCTTTTTGCAGGTATATTTGGCCCTACTTTCCTTCTCAATACAAATATTAAAGTTTTATCCCAATCTGTCTATTGGTTTGACAGTCACTTGGAAGTTGGGAATGGCAGCAGAAAAGTATACATTCTGGGTTGACCTCTCAGAAAGAAAGGTGCTGTGTGAGAACAGTATGTTGGATTTTCACAAAAATGGTGTCAGAATGACCAAAAAGAGTTATTCAAACAAATCTCCAGAAGGCTTCTGGAAAATATGCACCTTGAAAAATACATATATTGGAAAGTATATTAAAGGGAGGTATATTCCCTCTCCTCTCCCCCCAGCTCTTTAGGATAAAATTCAGAGGTTCTTCAAGAATTTCCATTCACACAGCCAGAGTTTTCAAAATTTTTTAAGTTGAGAAAGCAGTCACTGGGTACCTCCTGTTGTTTGTACATATGTTAACTGGCTGAAGATAAACCTTTTCCAAATCATCCGGCTTAGGCTGACAGAATTACATAAGTCTATGGCAAATGACTGAAGCCACTCACTTGTGGCTTTAATCATCTAGCCTCAGCCACACCTTTTGGACATCACCTTAAAACCCACAACTCTGCTGGGGACACGCTCAAACAAAAGTACATTTATTACAATGCATACAGACATAACTGCTCCCTTCTTGTTACTGTATTTTTACCAGGTGTTAAAGGTGATAGCAGCGTGGTTGGTCCCCTGCCTGTTGGCTCATCTTCTGGCATCACTGGCATGATAGAGTAAGGTGATAGCAGCGTGGTTGGTCCCCTGCCTGTGGGCTCATCTTCTGGCATCACTGTCCCGGTAGAGTAAGCCATCTCTTGTTTTATGACAATAGTAGTCACAGGGTTTCAACTGCCGTTCGCCATTTTCGCCAATTGGTGAATAATTATAATTTTGGCTATTATTCCATTGACCTGGCAAGAAAAATTGGTGAACATTTTGCATATTTTGCAATATTTAGACAAACCTTACCACTTGTTCATCACCGAAACGTCATAGTGGTATTAATTTCCAACTTTCACAAACAGTTCCCATTCATTTTCCCTGTTGGAGTGGTGAAAACACGTGCGCAAAGCTCAATACATTAAACGAAGTTGCTCTCGTTCCCGCCACGCCGTGCTCATGCAAAAGAATGCATGATGGAAATGTAGCAACCAGAACCAGTCTATATATTTACTGTACATTCCGGTTGATCACACTACATCAGCCATACACGCATATCGCATGCAACCCTAAAGCTGCAGGTCGAAAAAAGAGGTTTTCTGCAAGTTAATTCACAGAATTTGGCCTCTTATTTATGCATGTATTTTCTGTGGTCATGAGTTTAATTTGAGGTTGTTTTGCTTGTATTTGAAGCAAGCGTGTTTCAACAAATTTCCTGCCGTGGCACTAAGTTTATCACCCGCTGGTCTGCGGATGCATCAAAAAAAATTTGAGAAGGCACCTGCTTGAAATCATTGTTTCTTCATTTTAGAAAGAACAGTTTCTCACAGAATGTAGTCCTCTATCTAAACCAAGTATGCATTTTTACACCAATTTTGGATACCTTTTGGATAATGGCAAATGATAGACTGTACAGTGCCTTTAACCCATTTGTCCTTATACAGGGTTCCCACAGTTATTGAAAATCCTGGGAAAAAGTTGGCCCAGAAAGTCATGGAGACCTCACAGAAAATTGGTCTGAGGAAAAGTCATGGAAAACAAGATGGTACAAGGGTGATTTTGATGGTGGTTATGGATAGTGGCTATGGCAGTCTTCCCGTTTATTATACCAAACAAATTATGTGTGCAGAGTGGCATTAAATGCCATGGAAATTGTCATATTTTAGTTCTGGAAAGTGCAGGAAAGGTCACTGAATTTGATTTTCAGATTTTGTGGGAACCTTGCTCGTAACAATCAACGCCCAATTTCTTGGTGCTCCTTAGCATGCGATTTCAAGCTTACAGAGGCTATGCCTATTTCGTGCATACCATAAACAGTAAGTACAGCCAAATGCATCCTAACCTTGGAGGAAAGATTTGCTTAAACTTAGTGATGTAACAACAGAAATCTCTATCCGAACGCAACCGTTAGGACAACCACTCCGAGCACCACTACGTAATAGTGCTCAAGGTTAGCACATTTTTTGCTAAAGTTAGCATGATTTTTTTCTCTTCTGTGTTAAGAAGCCCCATGAAATTGGGCCCTGACCCCATCCAGCCGTTACACCTTGCACTCCCCAGCACTGTATGGTTTTATGGATTTAACGTCAACCCACAATCAGAGTCTATGTGGTGATGGGTTGAAACGTTGATGTTTTGCTCAGTTTGGGAAAAAATTATCATTACAGTGTGACCGAAAACCTTAGGTGACCTTTCCTTTTTTTTGTTGTCATTTTTCCCTGTGTTTAGATTTGGGAAGGCCTCATTGCCAGGTGAATGGACTGCCATGGCTGCCCACATGAACGGTGAGACTGGCTAGAGTCATGGTGCAAGTGGTCTGACCGATGAAATCTCCAAAGTGAAGAGGCAGATTACATCATAAGTAGGACAGGTAAGAGTCCTGTGTTTCATATCACTGCTGGCTTTCTGCAAGGATGAATCTGGGAAATGGGGAGGGGCCGATTGGGGTCATGACCAAAAAAGGAGCAAAAATTTTTTTTCATTTGAAAAAATAAAAGTATCTTTTTGGTTTGTTTAATTTCCCTTCTTTTGAAACTTGGAAATGTAGTTTAACCCCACAAACAACTTTAAAGCACTGTTTTACATCAAAGAACATGGATTAGGGGCAGCTGTGGCAATTGTCCATCAAACATTATATGGCCCTGTTGGTCTTTATATTTAAAGTTCAATTTTTCTTCCTCATAATATTGCCCATTATTACAAGCCATTAGTAGAAGCCAAGGTGCAAATGTGAAATTCAGATAAATTCCTGACATCCCTGTTGTTAAGTGAATATTTTGAAAAGCAAATTAAACATATATTCTCAAGTTTTATCTGATAGAGCACTGAGAACAGTGTATTCCAAAACATTTTGAGATTAAAGTTTAAAAATTAAAATCAAATACATTATGGCAGTATGGGGATTTGTTCAGGCTTTTTGAAGGTGAGCAATGAAAATGGACAAAATTTAAGTTTTCAGAGCTTTTATTTAAAGAAGGGTCTACCTTAATTTTGACAAATATTGAGCCAAACCACAGAAAAGGACCATGTTGTAAACTTTAACAGTATTTTCAGTCACCATCAAAAATATCTGATTTGTATCCCACTCAACAGACTTATACACACTGTTAAAATATTTCTGCCCACACTTTTGGGATTAATCATTGATTTCTGTAGGAGCTGTTGGTCCATACATGTAGATATTTTAGTTTTGTGGTCTTTCCTGATTGATGTTACAATATTACTGTAAAACAGCACCCTCACTTGTAAGGGAAAGACAATTTTAAATATTTAAAAATGTCATTTGATTCGCTAAATCCTAAAGGGGTGTCTGGAAAAATATTGTTAACAAAGAGTACAAATCACAAATGCTTCCAGAAGTAATGGGTGGGCAGTGTCAAAGGAATCCTCTTGTCATAGTTCAACTTCTGACATGAAAATGGATGAAAAGCAATCGACAAATAAAAGGTGTAAAAATAAGGAGCGTACAAGGATCCTATAAATTTTTTGAGAAAGGTCTCAATTTCTGCTCCAACTTAGTTCCTTTTGTGATTAATTTCTCCCCTAGACCTCCTTATATGAAAGCTGTGGGTATGCCCCAGGAGTAGCAGACCATGATGCTGATGAGAAAAGCGCCCTCGCCTGACAAGGAGAGGAAGTAACTCGGATAGATGTTAGTCCTTGTCTCCATCCCTGAGGAGGAACAGTTTCGAAGATTGCACGAAGGATCCTCATCAGAATCTTGGGCATTGATTCACAAAAAGGCAAGGAAAGGACTCAATCTTCTCAGAGATGCAGTTCCTGGCTTCCACCTTAGTGATGGATCAAGCCTTATCTGCATTGTACTCTACTCAAAGGATCAAAGAATCATACATAGTGATTTATAATTTAAACAAATGGTATTCCCATCGCAAAAACTGAGCGTCATTTAATTTGGCTATTTTCTGGCATCAAAACAAGTTCTGCTTAAGAACACTGAAGTCTCGCAACACTGAAAAAATACTTTGGTCAGCACCTTGTCCGGGTCCTTTACAGCCCTTAAAATGATGTAGTGTATAAAAATAGAGTTTTAACCAAGTAATGTGAGGTCACTGTTTATGAGTATATTCTGGTAATGTGAGGGCACTATATGTGATTCTGAATCATCGAAATGAAGCACATTGAAGATGTCTGTATCTCAGCCTGAAAAAATTACATGTAACTGTTGAGACCCTTTTATTCAGTAAAATAATGCAATGTCTGACTCGTATATGTTTGCAAATCTTCCCCTCAATCACATATTTTTATAATTATCTGTGAAAATGAAGATTGATAAAAAAAATGAAATTTGTGGTTGTCAGGACATTAAAAAACAGCTTCACAGTTTTTCCAAAACCTTAACACAAAATGGTAAGAGGTCCAATATTCCACTTTTTCTCAAAATGTCCTAAAGTGAGATACATACATGTACATCATTTTACCACAGTAGGGTTGTATAGTACTGGCCAGTCTCATGTCATTGTACCCCCCCACACTCTCTAAGACACTCCCACTCTCTCATCCCCTTGCCTCAGAGTCATCCTATCCTTTGTGAAAGGTGGCCATTTTGAAGTTGTGCAATACCTGAGCAATACACATCACCCAGTGCTTTTTGACCCTTCCAGCTCATTGGGCTCTGAAACACGACTAACCAATTGCGTTGTCTCACATTGTATGGTGCTCAACCAAGCATGAACATGAGCTTCAGTGTACAATAAGTAAAGTCAATGAAGTACACACCTGGCTGAAATGTTCTGATGTCAAATGTCTGATCCTTTAATTTTTTGAGTAGTGTATATATGGTATACAGTACAATGCTGCTATAATGAACAAGGCAGGGTCCATTCACAATGCCTGGTGTAGCATACCTCCCCAACTATTGCAATTTCAATGACACTGTTCCAATCGTCGCATTTTCATAGGCCTAAATATCTAAATGTTCGGATTTCCAAAAACAAAGTCCTGGCAAAAGAGGGCGCTGTTTGCTAAAACAGAGAGGGTGCCATTTGCAGAAAAAAAGGGTGCTATTTCCTACAGTACGTTGAAATGTCAGTTGTTACACATACATGTACATATGCACCCATTTTTGTTAGTGTATGTTTGTGCCATGGGCTCATAACATCACCGTTCCAATTTCGGAGTTTATTGATGTCTTAACTTTTGAATCACTCCCTCATTAGTCCTAAATATTTTTCTTTAATTTAAAGCAAATTTGTGACGTTCAGTAAAAGTGTGCAGAAAATTTGAAAGCCAAGAGGGATCTCTTTTCAATTTCTTTGTTCATCTTTATAAGTTTTTCCTTGGATAAAATACTACATGCATTTTGTATTTTTCATGTTGTACATTCACATTTGCCAGAGCATTAGAAAAAAGTCTGAAGTTCACTTAAAATTATCACAGAACTGCAAGTCGCAATTGTTGGCTCAGTACTGAAAGGTCATTACTGCAAAAATGTAATTTTTGACTACAATCTAAGGGCCTTGCTCTGTGCACAAAAGACATATTTGATTTAAACAGTTTTTATTTTTTAGTCGTAAAACTATTGTTTTGCAGCCAACAAATTTAGCATATTCTTTTTTTCCAATTAATGTCTAACAATGTTTTTGTCTAAACACCTTTTAGTGCATTCTAAGGACCTTTTAGTACTGACATAAACTTTGTTTTGTTTGAAAATATTACCTTGCAAAAATGCTTTGTGTATTTAAAACTATCCCCATTTATTGCTATAGCCAGCTAATTTCTATTTGCAAGTGAAATAAATGTTCATTTATTTAAACTAACAGAACAACTACTTTGTACATGTATGTCTTTTTGTGAAATTGTAGTACTTTGCCACTTTACCTTTCTGCTAATCAGGACCATTTTACACTGCCAGAGTTCAAGGTACATCTGTTTCCATCTTTAGATTTCACATTACAGCCTCGTCCCACATGGAAACCCTTCCAGTCTTAAACATCTTCCAAGCTCCTTAAATAAGTTCCCTCTTGGAGACTTTTAGTCTCAATGTTGTAAGGGCTACAATAAACCCAATAGCAATATGGAACATTAAAGCTATGTCCTTCAACCCCATGGGATCCTCCGAGCTCTAATACTGAAAGTCCCGAGCCCTCAGCCATCCACTTTACCCTTCCTGTCAGCTCTCAGACTTCCAGCCCCCAGGACTTCCACCCTTGCCCATCTCCAGTACACAGTTTGGTTCAAAAATATTCTAAGTCCAAACAATGGAAGGTTTAAGATTTAGAAACGAACACATTTCTTCAA